AAAAAAGCCCTCAGGATCTGGAGTTATAGGATGGCAACGAAGCCATCTAAAAAAGACTCCCTCCTTTGAGCACCCTTCCTTTCCAACCATGCCTTAGCCGTTTATTGTGGCTGCATATTGTGTTTTGCTACTAAAGCAGTCTGAAATTATATTAAGAAAGAATGACAGAAAAAAAAAAAAAAAGGAGAAAAAGGAAAAAAGAAAGATATATGCTTTGTTAACATGATTTAATGACACAGTCTTTAGACTAAAGAGATGGATTAGTACATATGGGAAATGGCAAACATGAACAAGCTGGCAAAGAAGGCAATTCAAGTCCCTTCAGATTACGATCGGTATCTTTTTAAATTATGCCTGATAGTAGGTCAAAACTAGAATGAGCAGGGAGCCATGCCTTCAAAAAGACGATAAAGATGATTGAAGAAGGAATGGTGTGAGAAAATACAATGTTAACAGAATGGAAAAATATGCAATACTGTCTTATTCATAAGCACAAAATAAAATCCTCATGACAAATGAATGAGGAAGGCCTTGGGTCAAACAATCACTGATCAGCAAAAGCCCAGACTCATATCTATTCTAGTGTGCAGACCCAAATTCTCTTTTCTCACTATCAACAGAAATTTCACTCACATCCCCAGCCAGAACCATGGCTAGCCTTTGTTTCCTTACATGAATCACTGAACATTACATTTCATTCCTTAGAAAAATGTAAGGCTTGAGTTGAGCACAACATGAATACAGTTGCTATGATACATCCCCATCCCAGTTTCTTTCTGTCTCCTTTTCCTGTCCCAAACTCTTTTTCCCCTCTGTTTCTTGTCTTCATCCAGGGCAGGAGACTTTCCTCCTCTGCACTGCCATAAGACTCAATAAAGACTGCTGTCTGTTATTGTACTCACTCCCACATTGACCAACAAGAAATGGAAACAGAAATTCTTACATAAAATTCTTGCTTTGCTCTGGACTGAATAGGAATAGGGCACGGACTCCACAGACAACACACTAGGAACAGTGTGGGTGATAATCTTCAGAAAGTCATAGAATCACAGAATCTTTAGATTGGAAGAGACCTTTAAAGACTACTTAGTCCAACTCTACTGCAATGAACAGGGACAACTACAACTAGACCAGGTTGCCCAGAACCCCATCCAGCCTGGTCTTGAAAGTCTCCAGGGATGGGGCACCTACATCTCTGGGCAATCTATTACAGTGCTTCACCATCCTCACTGTAAAAGACTTCCTCCCTATATTAACCCTAAATCTATCCCTTTTAAGTTTGAAACCATTTTACCTTGTCCTATAACCACAGTCCCTTTTAAAGAGTATGACTCCCTCTTCCTGGTAGTTCCCCTTTAGACATGGAAAGGATACTGAAAAGTCCCTCTGTACTCAGAAAGGTATCTAATGTACAGGTGGAAAATGTTCCTTGACATTTGGACAAGCATTTACGGCTTTTCATGAGAACAGTGATGAACTCAAAACAGGATCGCATGCTTTTTCAGTGAATAAGGAGAATTTGCCAAGTAAAGCTGTTAATAAAAACTGTGTAAAAACAGTGTTTTATGTAGAAATAGATAGATAGATAGATAGATAGATAGATAGATAGATAGATAGATAGATAAATAGATAGATAGATAAACGGTCAATCCCCTAAACCTTAGTCTTTTAAAACCGGATGAAGTTAAAGGTAAACAAAACTGAGGAATAACCCTGAAGCATGGAAAATGGCAGATGAAAGGACTGCATACCAGCAAATTGGCTCATATGATGGCTGCTGTCAAGTGACCCACCCGCACTGCTTGTAAGAAACAGCTATGGTTGGAAACCAAGAAATGTTGATGCTACTTTGGATTCCAAAATTATCCGTCTTTTTAAGGCAAACTCTCAATCACTCCCTGATACAACCTCCACTCACTGAAGCTTTCTCACCTCTTCCCTGAAGAATACTATTTAATCTACTGCACTCCAGAACCTCTCGCTCGGAAATTTGATGAACACATGCCTCTAGCTCCTTCTGAAAGAGTTCTCTGTTCTAGAAGGTGTTCATGGCCCAGTGTATATATTTGCAGGACTTATTCTTGTGCTGTTGCTTACACTGAATAGTGGTTTCCTCCTTAATTATGACCTGAGGGTGAATAACACATCTCTGGAGCACTGATCTACAAAACTCAAATGGAAAAGTGCTGGATGCTAAAATCAAGTAGAGTCTGGGCTGCAAAGGGCTAGTGAGCCAGAGGGATTTTCAGAGCTGGAGAAGGACTTCAAAGGGGAGAAGAGTTTCAGGACTAGATGGGCAAAATAGTGAGAACAGAGGCAATTAGATCAGATGTGAACAGAGAGAGAGGTCACATCCTGGATCACAACTATTTGGAACTAACGGTAGAGGAGGCATTTAGGGATTAGTATCAATAAGTAAGGGACAAGATAGAAATACATGGAAACTTGCATTTTGAACAGTCAGATATTGATTTTGATCATAGCAGAGGGATAAAGAAGTAGAAAAAGAATGAGATAAAAGGAACGAGTTGTGATGATAGTGATGAAAAGGATCAATTCTCCTCTGCACTCGCTTGGAGGTGAAAAATCCCTGGTGTGGAGTACACAGAGAAGCTATCCAAGCCTCTCACAGAGCACAGAAGCAAGCTCAGCTACAAACTATGTGTGGCACACATGCAGCAAGTATGCTGAACTGAACTACAACATTGCTGGTCATCCCCTCGGGGCTCTCACCACTCGCATCTCCTAGCCCTGTTGAAAAGAACCATATTTTATCAGGACGTGGCACAGCTTAGGATTGCCAGCATTCTCACTTCATACTGGGAAAGAAGTGCAGCCCCCACTATGGACTGGGCTATGATGAGCATTCTGCAAAGCTGCACAGCTTGTGGGGTTCACATTGAAGTGGTTTCATACACTCTGCATTATGACCTTTTTCAGCCAGCTGCCTCTATGGGCTCAGCAAACAGGACTCTGCTTATACACAACATGTATCTGAGGACTGTAACTCCCTTTTTTCAAAGGCTGCTTTAAGGTAAGTTTGTTGTTAAGCTATACCATACAATGCAGCATTACAAAAAGACACTTGGGTTCATTTGTTCACAGTGAACAGGAAAACAGTTTTTCTAAAGTCTACTCCTCGTGGCTTTGGTTCCTATATATGAAATACTTTTCACATAACCAAAGCTGGAAGAAGATACTGAAATGACAGCTTTATTTTTTTATACATAACTTGTGTCTTTTGTGGAAGAAAAAAAACAATGTAGATCTATGGCAGAAAACAAGACGGTCAAAATAACACCAAAATTCACCAAGATCAGAAAACACATTTTTAATTTATCCTCTCTAAATGAACTCAAACTTCAAATTTTGTGACCCATTGATTGCTACATACATCGATATGGTGGCCACTCATGATTAAACATACTTAAAACACTCGAGATAGAGAAGACAGCTGACTTGTGTAATTTCCTTTGAACCAGTCAATGAGGAGTGCTAACTGATAGAGAATATTTAATGGTATATTCAATGAATGCATACTTATATTTGCAGCAAGATGTAACAGACTGGGTCTAATGCTGTTGCTCCTGCACCCAATTAGTGTTGGACTGAGGTTTCAGTAGAATTATTTGTTAACAGCGAGCCATTACCCGTAGAATCCTGGGGAAAGTAACCCACAGTCAGACTTCAAACTACAAACGTCAAAAATTTTTGTGTTGTAATACACCAAGCAAATGATACTGCACACCACAGGGAAAATAATACTGACAGGGAACAGCTAACCACTACCCCATTATTTTTTGCAATTAAAATAAGTAAGTAGAGAATAGATTTGCCCATTTTCTCCCCCTTAAAAGCCATCAGAATTCATAGGAGGACGTTATGTATTTATATAATGATGTTTGGGGGAAAAATGAATGGACTTAGGGCAGGGAACAGTTTAAAAATGGAAGGCAGCATGTCGATTGTGTGCATTTTTTTTTTTCTACTTTATTAGGAAAGAACAGCTTTGGAGCTCAGGTCTTGGGGAGAGGAAAAGGCACATCAGGTTACTGTACCATCGTCTGTAACCACTAAACTTCTCCTATATCAGATCCTTGAGATAAGGAAGACAGCTGCCCGGCCTTACAGGACACCACAGGCTCCTCAGAAACAAACAAAACCCACCACTGACACTTCAAACTGCTAGCAGTCCTCACGCGCAACTCCTCCACAGGCAGCAGAGGATCCTCACGGCGGGTGTATCACAACTGAGTTTCACGGACCGCTCCTAACTTTCCTGTAACGAAGCGAGGACCTGGATGGGGACAGCCGGCAGCCCAACACCAGCCCCCAGCCCGCTGCAGACGTGGCTGCTTCTCGCATCCCGCCATACGGCCCGCTCCGCCGTTCCCTCCCGCAGGGCTCTCCCGACGAGCTCCCCTGTCCGGCTTCCCTGCCGGACCGCAGTGACCCCTCGCGGGACGTTTTAACACCGAATAACGTCAAACGATGTGCACTGAGCCGGGGCCGGCTGCCGCAGGCAGGCAGGCAGACCCTCGTGAGGGGCCAGGAGGCGCCGCGGCTGCGGGCGGGAGAGGCAGTTCCCGCGCTGCCCGCGTCCTGTTGCCCATCCTGGCCCCGCTGCCGCGGCTTCACGCGCCGGGCCCGGCTCCCCCGCGGCCCCTCCTCGCCCCCGGCCCCTGCGGGGACACAGCTGGGGAGCCGCGGCTGCCGCCAGACACGAGGCCTTGCCGCAGGCCTCGCACCTCTCGGCGGTTCCCGCGGCCCGGCCGGCGGAGAGGCGGCCTCCGGACCCGAAGAGAGGGAGGCGCGGAGGCGGCGGGGCCGGCAACCGCGGACCCGGCAGCGCGGCCGGGGGGCGGCGGGGCGCGGGGCCGGCGCGGCTGCCATTTCCCCTGGCCCTCAGGGCTGCCGGGCGGGCGGGAGCGAGGGCGGGAGGAGGAGGAGGAGAGGGAGGAGGACGGAGGGAGGGGAGAGGGAGGTGGCCGAGCCCGAGTGAACTGAGGCGCTCAGCTGCCAACACTCACACACTGCCTGCCGCCGCCGCCGCGCTGTTCCCGGGCTCCGGGCAAGAGGGGATAGGAAGGCAGAGGAGCATAGGCGGGGGAAGTCAGAGCGGAGGGAAACGGGAGAAGGAACCTCCTCCCCGTGGCCAAAGGACTTCCATGTAGCGGGAGACAGCGGGAGAAGGCTGGCGCTCCGGAACTGTGCGAGAAGCTCTCCGAGCAAGTTACTTAATCCCTGAAGAGCAGCGGGAGGAGGGGACGGCACCGAGCTCTGTTGCCGATCGTAGTCACTATTCCCAGCCCCTCGTCACTCGACCGCGGGCAGTTCAATGCACTATTCCAGGCTCTTTCTAGTTTCCTCCTCGGGCTAACTTCGGAGGACGCGCCGCCGCTGTCGCCCGGAGGTAAGGCGGAGAGCCTCGGAAGAAGGAAGGAGAAGTTTTGCGGGGGCTGCGCGCGGAGGAGCAGAAGATGGGCTGGAAACGCCGCTGCTTCTGGGGAGGCGGAGGCGGCGGGGACCTTCTCTGCCGGCTAACCCTGGTGTTGGGGTTCCTGCTGCCCGCCTGCAGGACGCGCCTCTACACCAACCACTGGGCTGTGCGGATAGCTGGGGGGCTGCCGGAGGCCAACCGGATAGCTAGCAAATACGGATACGTCAATATAGGACAGGTAACCCTCCTTACAACTACTTCCGAGCGAGCGGGCGGGCGGGTGAGGGACGGCCGGCTCCGGCCCCGCCGCGGGCCCCGCGCCACCCCGGCCTCCCGCGGCCGGCGGAGGTGATGCGCGGGGCAGGTAGGCAGAGCCGCGCGGGGCCGGAGCCGCGCGGGCTGTGCGCAGCGCCCTCTCCGCGGCCAGGTGCGGAGCGGGGCCGCGCTACGCGGAGCCTCCCCGCAGGCGAGGAGCCGGGGGCGTGGGGCCGCGGTGGGGCTCTGCCCTCCATCGCGCTGCCTCCGCGCCGAACTTCGCGCTCCCCGCCCCTCCTCCGCCGAAAAAAATCCGAAGAGAGCGGCGCGTCCCACGGCGAGCGCGCCTGTCCCCAGCAGCCAGGACGTGGCAGCCGCCGCCGCCGCCGCCGGGGGCGTCCCGGCCCTCCCCGAGTCGGCAGGCGAGGCGGGGAGAGGTGACAGGGTGGTCCCGCGCCGCTGTCCGGAAAGGCGCCGCGGTGCCCCGGGCGGGAGCTGGCCGGGCCGGACCGCCTGCCCACTGCTCGGTCCGCAGCCTCGCTGCAGGCTCCCCGATGAGTCGGCTCCCGGCTGCCAGCGCTGCTGGAGCGAGGCTGTGTGCAGCCCGCGGATGTTCAGCCGAAACGCACCTGAAGCCGGCCGGAGCTGGGGTCTCCCGCGGGAAAGCTCTCGGATCACGCAGATCTAGGGGCTGCAAGGGGGGAACACCCGCGTGTGGCGGCGTGCGCCCTCGCTGCCGCAGCAAGCACGGCTTGGGGTGTAGCGTGTCCTGAGGTCGCTTTCTCTGACAGAGGTCGTGGCCGATATTTACGGCTCTCTGACAGCCTCAAAATGTGAGTCACCATCGCAGTGCATAGTGCTTAAACAACATCCAGTGCTGCTGCACCGTGTGTGTGAACGTCTCTGCATCTAGACTCACCACGTGAGTCAGAAGTTTAAAAGTGATCATTTACAGGTATGGAAGCTTTTCTCTCACAATGAGTTAGTTGTAAGAATACTGTTGTTAACACTACTGTGTTAACACGGTAGGCCTTCGGCTTCAGGGAGATCAAGGTGGCACTGGTTCTGTTTGTGTGGTGAAAGGAGTTCCCACATGCTATATCATTGACCACAAGAGTTTGAAGTCTGCATCTCAGCCATTCTCCATCATTGCAATCCTGGGTGAGGTGGTCCTGCTGTTCACAAGGTAAATATTTTGCATACAAAAAGCTGATAAGTGGTATAGGCAGCACAGAATGCTTGAAATCAGCTATGCGTGTGCTTGGGCAGGCAGTGCCAGCTTCCCATGTGATGCATGCGGGCAGGTAGGAAATACTGCTTCCATTCAAAGGCACAAAAATTCTAAAGGAAGTTTTTGTGTCAAAATCGAATGGACTTTTACGCATACAATACAGGATATGCATGAATATGAATATAAAATACAGGAATGCATGAATAACATTTGTATATTCCTATTTCGGCCTTTGTAACACTGCAGCAAATGACAGCAAGCTGCAGGGTTCCCTCCTTCCCCCTTCTGCCTTCCCTCACCTCATCTGGGGGGCTCAGGACTGCCTTTTTGTATCTGGCATGTCTGAACCTCCCGCTGAGTGAAGGAAAGGACCCGGTAAGCACCCTTTCCCTTCTTATGCTTCAGTGAGGTGCCATGCACACACCTATATATATTAATAATACATACATTACTGATCAGGTGTACAGACAGGAAGGAGAGAAAATAGAGACTATAAATAATGAATAACTGGAAAATACATCACTGGATATGCAGATAAAAAAAGAGCATATGTGAAGGGAATCTTTAGTTATTTTGTTGTGTAGACAGGGCAACTGCCAGTAGAGGAGTAATATAGGAAAGTCGAATTATGTGTGTATGAGAAAGAAAACATCAGCAACATTGTAAGCCAGACTGATTGGTGATTCTTTGTCTTCTGGCTGTAGCAAGCCTTCAAGTGCAAGACGCTAGGCATGTGGAAAGAAATATAACCTGTATGTATTTTTGTTGTTACACCACATTGAAGAGCTCAGCGTTCTACTATTGTACAGTCTGCGTCCAAAGAAGTCTTATGCATTCACAGTCTTAGACAAAATTTCCTTTCACGACTATCTTTTCATTATGGGCAGTTCTAAGTTTCTGGTAATTACGTGCAAAATTATCTCCAAATGTATTTCCATGGTAGCATGGCCATTGCTGTACTGGTGGTCAGTCTGCAGTAAATCTATACTTCCTTTAGTTCACAGCTGGGCCTTGTACAATTTAATTTATATTGACCTGATTGCTAGATAGGATGGATACTTGGAGAACTCAGAGTTCATGAAGTAATTGAAATGACTGTCGTTTTACCACTTGTATCTTAACATATAAAAGTGGTTCAAAGTCTGTGTAAGATAGTTACGTAAGTGGCTCCAAAAATAATGACTCCTGTTTATTTCCATCTGAATGGCAAAAACACTTTAACAGTGGGGCAAATTCACAGCTACAAAACACATCACCAAGAGCTCTGCATTTTTGCCAGTGATGAACAAGACCCTGAGTGGGTGAGCTTGTGAAAATCTGTACCAGTGGAGGTGAACCACTGACACCACTGGTGAAACGTATCACCCACTGCCTCACTGTGCTCATATTTACTTTTGGGTCTGTATAAATGTTCAGCAAGAATCGATGAATGCCAGTGGGTGCCATTTTTTCCACATGGCGAACTTCAGTGACACGTCTTTGCTTCATTCACACTTCCATGTCAGATGCTGTTTTGTCAGAGTGTCCTTCTGCCATCTGTCAAATGGCAACAACATGTAAGGGATATTGTCAGGAAGGTGCAACCTCTACTTCTGTCCCACCAACATCCACCTCTGACACATGGGCCAACGTAATAAAATTAAAGGTATTACTTTTGGAGCAGCCCTTTTTTATTACTACAAAAAAAAAAAAAAAAAAGAAGAAATGTAGATCATTTTCTGTGAGGGTTGTCAATCACTTATAGACAGGGGAATAAGACAGTTTATACATATATGTGTATATATATAGCTATATATAAAGTGAGTAAAATAGTTTCTTTTTATAAATAGAAGTCAGGAATAGACTGAATTTATGAGTGGTGTTTGGTGGTAGCAGGCTTTATGCAGGTGTTTGGAAAAGCGGGAAATTGTTTTGCATATTACAGGAAATGTGAAAGAATATATGAGAAGGAGTAAGGATCTTTTATCTACTACTGAGAGACAATTGCAATTAATTTAAAAAAACTTGGAAGGTTTTTAAGCATTTGGAGTAAGATGTTAAAAGAGGGGAATTAGCTGAATTCTCTACCACAATGCATGAAGAGAGACAAACTGTGAGCATGGTTCTATATAAGAGGCAGGACTTCCCATGGTCCTTGTCTATATACTGTGGCAGTTCAGGCCAGGCAATTAAACTTTGGTTTTGAAGATAACATCCCTTTTAGATAAACTGGAACATTGTGATTAAAGCTGAATGTGTCAGCAAGCTGTTTAATTTTGCTTGAAGAAGTTAACTATGAGTCTCATAAAAATACGCATCCATAAGTAATCTGAAATGGATGAAAAAACAAGTGTAATATGCAGTAAAAATATTTCTGGTTTAATTAACTTTGAGAGCTAACCTTGAAGAAAAGAAGTTCAAAAAGCTATGTCCAAGATCTAAATCAGGCTGGTCCAAAAAACTGGATTAGTAGAAAGAACCCAAAGAAGAGGTAGTGAAATTGCATACAGAAATGAGAGTTGAGCAGAGACAGCTGCAAACCAGGAACATTCCGACAATGCTTAATTGCATGATTAAAGCTGAAGGGAGTAGTGGAAAGCAGAAGAATGTTTTTGGAAGTGTTATTTTTCCCAGCTACCCTCTTAATTTTGGATGATTGCAGATGCTATGCATGATGTGAGATGCTATGGAAGAGAAAGAGTTTAGGGTAGATTAGCAGTAACACAGTTAAGAGGATGCAACATTTGCGCTGTATTTTGTTGAGATTTAACATGGAAAGGTGCGTTAAGTTGGTCAGTGTGAACCAGATTATAGACCCAGAAGTCATAAGCATTAGAAAACATCTCCCTCTTGCTACTTGGTGCATTCTGTTGGTAAGAAACATAATTTGTTGCTCCTTTTTTTGGTGCTTATGTGATTTGGAGAGTATCCAGTTGAGTGAGTCTTGAAACACCTCCTAAGGTCATTTTCACTGCCTTAGTGATGACAGAAAAACTATGAAATCTGTTTGAATGATTGGGCAAGTCACTCAGAAACTGATGGACGAGAAGTATATTAGAAAAAGCCTTGAGATCTGCTGGTAAGCAGTGGAGAACTGTAGCTCACAGCTTCTGTACATCCCTTGCTTTCAAACTTTTCTTGTGGTCTGCATTTCTTGTGAAAGAAATTTGAAGCTTCACCTTCTTTGCTTATGGAGAAGGGGTTTTCCATTAACTCCTGGGAGACTGTAATTTTCCAGGCTGCCTGTTCTGGTTCTTGTTTTCCTGCAAATTGCTCACTGAACTGCTCATTTATTCTGCATTTTCCTTACTACTACCAGTGTGAAATTGGCAGTAGGTATAGCTTCTCCAAGATACCTGAATTCCTACAGTGAAACTTGTAAGGCTCTAGTAAACTAGTAAGTTAACTTTTTTCATTTATGTTTTGAAAAGCCACAGAGCAGCAATGTACACTTACTGTATTAACTGATACTTGGCTTCTTTTGGAAGACTCTGTTCCCACTTCCACTGGATGCAGGTTAAATATCAGGAAAACATGCAGTAAAACCACTTGCTGAAGTGACCACTGAGAAGAGTGGCCAGGATACCTTTCCTGGAAGACAGTGATTTTAATTGTTATAGTTAGTGCCACCATCAGCTCCTCCTTGAGCTGATATTCGTATCAGTAGGCCTTCCTGTCAGATCCATCCTGTGACTTCAGACTTGCTTACTGTTATTATCATTCCTGTGACAACTGCATTAAGGTCAATAAAGCAGATATGGTGAAGCATCATT